CGTAGACAGGAGCATGCATATGCCTGAAAAAGGCTACTATGTGTGGGCCCCCTTCCCCGAATTCGGGAGGGCCACTTCTTCCCTTCCTTTCCTCGCTCCCGCGGGTGCCTAATCAGAGAAAGTTAAAGCGTGTCTTCTCCTCCCAAGTACGGACATACCAACAGAGGTTGCGCCGTTGCTGGCCTTCGCCAGGCAACGTGCGGCGGAATCTGTATTCGTGTCAATATATAGGCGCTTCCCCCGCCGGCGATCGCCGAAAACACCGATTTCTGAAAAATATCACCGAAAAACAGCTGTAAAAAAAATCGCCGATTCTGAAGGGGGCTCCGCCGAATCGAAAATAGATGTCGCCGATTGTCGCCGATAAAATTCATGGTGCCCCCTGTACTTTCTTCGTAGCTCTATACCAGCTGCACAGCTTCACACACGGCTGAATGGCGGTGCTATCTCGTCGCCTCTTAGCGGTATGGAAGCCTACTCTTAAAGTAGGTGGGATAATAGCAGTGAATGCGACGGCGATTCGGACAATAAGGTGCAATTTGTCCGCAAAGACAAGTGCCGCGGCTGCCACCAGCGGCGACAGCGGCAGCGGCAGCGGCGGCACTGGCAGCGGCAACGGCGGCAGCGGCAACGGCGGCAGCGGCAGCGGCGGCAGCGACGGCAGCGACGGCAGCGGCAGCAGCGGCAGCGGCAGCGGCACAGCCGCACCACCTGTTTCCGGTGCAAGAGCTTCGCCGCGGGTCTCTTCTGCTGGTTCAGCTTCTTCTAGCAGAAGTGCCTCTGCTCGCCAACACAGCGTTGGTTGCATCAATTCCGCCCAAACTTCAAAAGCGATGCCGCCGGAGGTACGAAACGATCTGATGGCTTGGTTCCAAGACGCGACAAACGCATCCAAGAGAAAAGCGCGCGAGAACAGTGAGAAGCGGTCTGCCGACAAACGTGCGAAGCGGGTGGAGGAGATCGCGAACAACCCTGCTGCGCCGGAGCGAGAGGAGAGCATCGAGAGAGACCGTGCGGTCGTCAGCCTGGCCAAACGGAGGGGGGCACGGGCCAAGGCCGCCAACGCGGCGGGCAGGAGGTTCACCAGTCGGGGAGCCATGGCCAAGAGAACCCCCACGAAAGACGCCCAGGTACCAGTTTATGACCGGATCAAAAAGTTCTCGGACCAAACCTTCTACATGGCTGACGCTGGCAAGATGGCCTGCCGTGCGTGCTTCGGCAAGGTCATCTCTCTGCACAGTTACCGCGTGAAGGACCGCATCGACGGGAAGAAGCACCAGAAAAGAGTGGCAATGATGCTTGACACGGAGGAAGAGGATAAAGTGAGCTTGTGCTCGTTGGGTGGTGCAGCTTGTTGTTATTGTTGTTGTGTTTACATAAAAAAAAGTTCTCTCTGCCAAGTACCTTCTTCTTTCCGTACTAGTCTAGCACTTGACGGGGTCGATTCTCGTGGCCACAGGCTAACTTACCCACAAAAAACAGGTAAACGAAAATTAAATGGATACGTTTGGCAGTTTTATCAACACACCACTGCGGTTTACATTTGCTGCGTCGCTGCGTCCCCTTGTCCCTTTGTCCTCGAGAATGTAGATTGTGCAATCCCACACGCCACAACCTAACGATGGGACTGCGCTTTCGGTCGTCTGTATGTGTTTGTTTCTGCGCTACAGGGGACACTCCGCGCGTTTACCAAGCGCTCCGAGGCCCAAAAGGACAAGCTCACACAGATCAAGGCGGTAAAAGGTTGTTTGGCGGCCGGTGTTCCGCTAAACGTGCTGGGCAACCGTGTGTTCGGGGCGTTCCTCGCGCACCTCGACGTGGACTTGCCAAGCGCCGGGCATCTGGCTGAGCACATACCATTGATCCTAGAGGAGGAGGTATTATAGTTGGAAAAAAAACGACGGAGCTCTTTGCCGCTATGCCTGGTGTGTTTGTTTTGCAACACGGTAGCGTGGACGGGTGCAACTTTAAAATCTGAGCGATAAGCTTTATACTCAAACACTTGTTGTGTCCTGCTGTCCTGCTGTTTCGTTGTCATTTTCGGGAACAGCAAGCCAAGATACGCAATGAGATTGGCGACCGACCCTACGCGCTGTGCTTTGATGCCACTCCTTACCTCTCTCTGCGAGTGCTTCGGGGTTGGGGTTCGATTCATCGACGCAAGTGAACAGGTAATTAAAATGTTTCTGTTGGCGCTCGTCCCCGAAGGTTCTTTATCATGCCAGCATGCCAGAGTCCGACGGTATCGATTTCGACGTGCAAACAGTACCACAATCCACATGGTAGGTAGTTTTGCAGATCCCACGACACCACCCAGTTCCTGTGCCCCCTCTCCCGTCGCGTCTTTGTTTCGACCTCATGTCGACAGGTGACAGCGTGTTCGGCGGTTGGGCATGCTGAAGAAGAGCATGATGGCGGACGACATTGCCGGTGAGGTCAACCGCATCGTCACCCATGAGTACAGCCTCGACCCCAACAAGTGCCGAGCCATCATCGGTGACAGCTGCGCGGCAAACCTCTTAGCCATGGGCGCGCTGGTGAAGTTGTTCAGATACGCGATCGTCATCGGCTGCTTGTCCCACACGTTCAACAACATCGGCAAGCAGCTTAGCACCCCGGAGTTGGGCACGTTCCTTGGCAAGATGCATGCCCTACTCTTGCACAGCGCTGGAGCGAAGGCGCTCTTCAAAGAGAAAGTCCGAGTCCGCGCCCCATCGACGCCTGGGCACCGGTGGGGCTCTAGATTCGATCGGGACTACATTATCGCCATGAACTGGCCTGGAGTGTTGGAGTTCATCGCCGCCTACAAGAGCGGAGACACGGACAAGAGCAAGGCAGCCAAGTTCATGAGGGACGAGCTAGTGCGATTTCGCGACGACAAAACCCCCCAGAGCTTAGTCCTTCAGTTGCAGCTGGCTTTGATGGTGGACGTCGGCCGTTCCGTGACTTCAGCAACTATCGTCCTGGAGGGCGACGAGCCATTGGTTCGTGTAAGTAGGGCGCGTGCAATATTTGCGGGAAGTAGACATTTCGAGCTTCATTTTTCTTCGGTGGTATTTCTTTCGCTGCTTCATCTCTTTTTAGTATAAGCATTTCGCCTCTTGTTACACTTCGCCGCTCTCGGGTGCCGCTTTCTCACGATGACAGGCGCACAAGACGTACAACATCGTGGAGCGGTTCCGCAGCAAGCTCGAGGTGGCTGAAGACGGTGTTTTCTCAACGGATGTCTCCTTGCCTACCGTCGCTGCTTTTGTCGCTAGACTAGTCGGCCAAGGAGACGACCTGGTGAGCTCAACTACGGACTGTGGCCTGCGAGATAATGTAGTGTAGACTCTAGATTGTGTAAATTGAAAACAGCAACACAAAAATACTCACATCGTGTAGTACATCTGTGAGGATTGTCCGCTAGTGATCCGCGCGTGTTTCAACGAAGTTGAAACCTTGGCACACCCTCCCCCCTTCCTCCCCGATTCCTCCTTGGTTGTCGGTTATTTTCGTTGCGTGTTGCATGTGAAGGGGCATCTGCAAGCTTGCTCGAGGCTGAAATGCAGGACTACTTGGGCACCCTTCGCCAGTACGCACACGACAGGATCGGACGCCACTCCCAAGCGAGGGATGCCAAGGCCTTGGAGATGTTCAAGGCCGCGAAGCTCACGGACTACGTGTTCATGAAAGGCAGGAAGTTCACCGATGACGCCATTCGCAGCCTCAAGGTGCTCCCGTTCGTCAAGAGCAAAATGGTCAGGGGTCTTTTAAAGGAGAAGGAAGACTACTGCATGGCGGCCAGTGACACAGACGCCGAGTACGCCCACATGGCGTTCTGGAACGACAATAAGACAAAGCTCCCTACGTGGCACGCCTTGATGTTGGACGTTGCTCTTTTGTATCCATCCTCTGCGTTCATGGAACGAGTGTTTTCCATCCTGCGGTGTTGCTTTAATGAACGACAAGAGAGCGTGTAAAGCGACCGTATTTTTTGCGCTTCCGCACTGCTCAAGTACAACAGGGGCAGGGTCCAAAGTAGCTCAGAAGAAAAGGAGGGAAGCGCCGCAGATGCTNGTGTTTTCCATCCTGCGGTGTTGCTTTAATGAACGACAAGAGAGCGTGTAAAGCGACCGTATTTTTTGCGCTTCCGCACTGCTCAAGTACAACAGGGGCAGGGTCCAAAGTAGCTCAGAAGAAAAGGAGGGAAGCGCCGCAGATGCTAACAACGGCGGCGGTAGCGACGAAAGCGATGACAGCGATGAAGACAGCGACTGAAGACCTGTGATTTGTATATTTAATGCTCATGCCTTTATTGTATCGTAGGTCGTAAGAGTGAAAGATTTTTTTGCCCCCAAGTCGCGCGTCATCCTTTCCTATTTAGAAATTTTTCGATGTTGAGTGCAGGTTCGGAATATTGCATGCTGTCATGCTGTCTCTAGCAAAGAAATAACAAGGGCAAATTACTTCGTTCGCTATTGCCGGCAGGTGACTTCTGCAGCAGTCCAACAGTCGGCAGTCTCGCGACCCGCTCGTTTGTGTGTACTAGGATTGCATGTATGCGTCGCGAAAGTCGCTTCGATGAAGTCGCTGAAGTTAAAAATGGCGAAAGGTAGCAGCCGAAGAAAATCGCCGAAAATCGCCAAAAATGAAACAAGACTCACCGAAAAAACATACCGAATCGCCGAATGTCGCCGAAAAAGTTTTTTTTTCCATCAATAGTATTTGCCGAAAAAAAATCGTGAAACGCCGGGAAAAAAAAAAAAAGTCGCCGGCGGGGGAAGGGTCTATCAATTTACCAACCGTTACCTTTTTTCGTGTCAATTTGCCAACCGTCAATTTGCCAACCGTCACTGTTTTTGGCGTCAATCTATCTCACAGTCCAAAATTTTCGTGTACTGCCAATTTTTGGGAAGTAGAGCATCACTTGGTGAAATGGCCCATCCATGAATAACACGGCCCTTAAGGTCCTACGCGACGTGGTGGATGGGGAATGGAGAGAGAGGTCTTACGCTTTTCTGAATTTTCTGCTGTTGCATCTACAAGAAAAGCAGAACAACATAGATAACACTGCCCCCCTCCCGCTGCCCAGACCATCGTCTGATCACCGAGGCGGACGTCTCCACCTGCCGCGGTTGTCTACACATAGCCATGGTATTTTGACGCATTTCGAGGCACTTGCTTGCACGGACGCTTGACATTCCCCTTCTAGCCCTCTCGCCTCTTTGGCAGTTTGTGCCCCAACGCTGTTCTTCTCTCGATTCCATTTCTGCACCATCAACATCGGATGAGTTGGTGCGGAGGTTTGCACCTCATGCATGTATAACCTCGCAGCATCACCTGCTACATACCTTTCACCGAACGTATGCACCAGCCTGCACGAGAATATTGCGCCCTGAAACAGATAAGGGGTAGGGCGGAGGGGGAGGGGGGGGTTGTTACTTGGCGAAACCCCATCGGTCGCACCGCTTCGGAGCAAAGGTAGGTGTTGGTCAGGAGTGGTCATCGTATACGCGCTATTAAATGGACGTGTTTATCCAAGTACCCGTCTCTTGCAACCTTGCTGACGCTCTTATGTGCCGGCGTTATTTACATAGTGACTCTCGCGGTTTGTTGGCCGATTTATACATCCCGCGCCAGGACGAGGACCTCGCCTTCTACTACGGACTCAAGAAAAGCTTCTCTGGTAGGTCCACGACGTGGGTGCTGTCGAGGTCGTCATTGGCACGAGAGCGAGCCGATGCGCAGTGGAGTTTTTGTCTGCCGGCAGGATGGGCGGAGGAGTACGGTGCTGACGGCTCATGGAAGTTCAAGACTAGCAAGGGTGGAACGCCCGTCTCGGTGAGCCTATCCTGGTGACGTGCGGTTTAATTTTGTCTATGTTGTAGAGATTGCAGATGAATGGGTTACCTGGCGGNGCGCCAGGACGAGGACCTCGCCTTCTACTACGGACTCAAGAAAAGCTTCTCTGGTAGGTCCACGACGTGGGTGCTGACGAGGTCGTCATTGGCACGAGAGCGAGCCGATGCGCAGTGGAGTTTTTGTCTGCCGGCAGGATGGGCGGAGGAGTACAGTGCTGACGGCTCATGGAAGTTCAAGACTAGCAAGGGTGGAACGCCCGTCTCGGTGAGCCTATCCTGGTGACGTGCGCGGTTTAATTTTGTCTATGTTGTAGAGATTGCAGATGAGTGGGTTAGCTGGCGTGAGAGTGCGTAGGTTACATCGCGTCCTAGTACCACCAAGTTTTTTTAGTTGTCACCAAGTTTATTTAGTGGTGCTCCTTCTCAAAGGCCCCATTTTTTTTTTGTCGTTTTACAGGTCTCCGTTACGAGGCCTGGACCTGGTGGAGGATGCCGTGTGGAAAACATAACATTCCACCATCCATACCGGCGTTTGCGTTGTACTACGCGATTTCCTGTTGTGTTGACTAGTCCGTCGGTCCCGGTAGGCACTACCGTCACCGTGATGATGTGCCCCGTAGACTGCGTTGGTATGATTCAGTTTGACGGCAGATTGCCAAACGGTAGGGCGGGCTTGGCCCACTGGTTGCCTCGGGCAAGCAAAATGACGGCGAGTGTTTCTCTCAATTATTAACTTTTACGTGTGTGACATCGACCGCAGACATACTTGGCGTACACTGACCTCTACAGTGACCCACGTGCGTTTTGCCATGTTTCCACGCAACACCCGACCTTGTTAATATCGTCAGATGTTGTCGAGGGTAGTGGACTCCAAGCGGCCGTGTGAAGGGGTACGGGCGGCTCACTACGCTGACGACTACTGTGGAGACGCGTTTGGCAGCACCGTGCGCGAGGCCCTGAGGCACGGGAAGCCCCGTGGGGTGGAGGGGGTAGGGCACTTCCCTGGTTTCCATCGTGCTGGAAAGGCCGCAAGCGCAACGCTTCACGTCCTCGGGGACGACCACGTGTTTCGTAGTGCAGGCTGCATTGGCGTCGCTACCGCTGCCGCCAAAGTTCCCCGCTGTTCTATGTGTGCTTCTTGGCACACGGAGACCTTCCTCCCGAAGCTCAAAGGCGCCGCCAACAGGGCGGGGTTGAGCAGTGAAGATCTATACCCTGACTCAAGCGCCCGCACGAAAAGAAAAAAATCAGCCGACGCGAAAATGAGACCCTTCCCGTCCCACGGATTGTTCCTCTCCTCAACCACGAATTCCAAGCCACTGAAATGAGGATAAGCTTCCCGAAACTCCTCAGCGGATGCAACTTTGTGGCTATTGACGAAGGGCAAGAACGCCGAACCAAGAGAACGCTGTCTACTCACGCGTGAAAGAGCGCTACTCAAAAGCCACCCCGCAATGTTGTACACCAGACGCCGTTGATGAACGTCCAGATCAACGTCTTCGGCAGGATACGCCACTTTGACGAGATGGGCCGCGTCCGTCTGTTGCGTGAGGGTCTTGTCGGCGGCCTGTCCGGTAAATCAGTTGGGTTGTCTCGGGTTGGTATGATATTTCCGTCATCGCGAAAAGTTCAAAACACACAAAAACACGAAACAAGCAGGTACACAGCAGCAAGCTCANTTCAAAACACCCAAAAACACGAAACAAACAGGTACAGCAGCAAGCTCACGCGCCCATACCACTCTGACTGCAGGATGCCAACCATTGATGACAGTCTCACCTCATCGATGGCCCCGAACACGCAAGTGAGTTTATGAGCGACACGCCGACTATCCACTCCCAGCTCGAGAGCCTTGCGGACGATGCTCGGCTCGCTGCTGAACTCCTCTTGCTTCGGAAAGCGCTCTTCCTCCCGCTTTTTTTCGTACGCTAGTGCCCGTTTCGACGAAGGTGGCTTTTTGTAATTTTCCACCAGCGCCCCCACGAGAACCCCCCACCAGCCGAGAATAGCGTCCTTCACTTCCTGCACATCAAGTAAACCTACGACGATATGCTTGTACTCTGGCACTTGCCCCATCCAATGTGCCCGGAGGCGCTCCCCAACCAAGTCAACCACCCTCTGGCCTGTCGGGAGCTGTTTGACGACGATCTCGGCCATGGCTGCATAGGTCTGTCGTGCGAGGAGCATACGACGTGCAGGAGGCGGCAGCTTAGAACAACGCTTGCGTATGATTGCCTTCAAGGCGCCCCTCTCCCTTCATACCAATCAGTGATACCTTGACAGGAAATCTGACGACGCTGGTGGCTTCCCCTTCTCACCTGTTGATCGGCTTCAGAAGTACCCGTCTCTTCATCTTTTGTCTCTTCCTCCTCCTCCTCCTC